AGCAATACCAGTAACGGTATCTACCCAAAAGCAATTTAATTAAGCCCAATGGGTTATCTATGGGGTGGGAGACCTGCTTAAAAAAAAAATGGGGCAGGTGGGAGCTATGTACTTAACTCTTGGTTATTTGTGGGTGTGGGGCTGGGACCGCAGACACTTTGAAAATGTCATTTCAAGCCAGGGTTTCAGTTTTCTTTTCTCTTTAAAACAAAGGAAATATTCACAGCCATGGAGCCCGCTCCTTCCAAGAGAGACCCTGCAGAGCAGAGTCGGACTGCATTTGGGTGTCCAGGGCTTAAGCCTCGACGGGAGCAGGCAGCCTCACTTTCCTCCCTCGGAGGGGCTGATGAGTTCGAACGGCTGACCTATGGTCAGCAGCCGGTGGGTACGGCTCCTCTCGTTTTTCTTCAGCAAACCTTTTCTAGCAGATTCATTAATGCCCTTGGTTAACGTGAGCCCCCCACCCCAACCCCACCCCCGGGATGCGATAGCAAAGAAGGGGCCTGTCCCAGGCTGGCTGTGGCTGCCTCCCGGAGTCAGGCAGGCAGGAAGGCATTGCTTAGCCTGGGGGCCGGGCAGGACGGCCCCTCGGGAGGTAGTGCCCATCAACTGGACCTGGAGGGGAGCGGAGAGGCCAGGGACAGAGCGCATGCCGGCTCCCCAGTTCCGTGTGGCCAGGAGTTGGCCCAACTTGGCAGGTCAATATTTGTCCTGACATAGCCGAAGAGGGTGCAGTCTTCAAGGGTATAAGGCTGCTGCGTCAGATCCGACAGGAGGGCAACAGGCTTGGTTTTTCTCCCCCAGTTTCATTCCACTTGGAAGTCAGGAGCACCTGGGCCACCCTCAAAACAAGATAAACTTCCCCTAAAAAGAAGGTGGGGGTTGGGTGGGGGGATGGGCTGGGAGGAGACGCTGGTGGTCTGTCTCCCAAGACAGACTATTGGAATGGCAGGGAGGTAGATGCCAACCGGGCAGCACTCTCCCTGGGGCTGGCTGAGCACCACCGGCTTTTTGGAAAGAGTCTGGAGATGGTTTGAGGCCGAGAGTCCAGATGCAAAGGCGGCAGCGCCTTCAGCCGGGGAAGTCCAACGCGTTTGGAAATGTACTGATGTTTGGTAAATGGACACGGGGAAGTGAGTGGCCGAGGCGGGCGCTGGGGAAGCTGAGATTGTGACCAGTCACCACCCTGTAGCATGGGCGTGGGGCCAGACGGTGGGAAGGGCTGACGTTTGTTGTTGTAATCCCGGTTCTTTTACTCTTGGAGATTGGATGACAAAGCTGGCGAACGAGGAGAGGCAGCTGCAGGGTCAGGTGTGCCTGTGGGCGAAGCCTGAGATTCCGACGACGTGCACGTCTCCTCATGCCAGGACCATGGGCACCTGGGAAAGGCCTCGAGGGAACCCAGGGGGCGTCTGCAGCCCACCGAGGAGCTGAAGCACAGGGCAGCTCCGGAGCGACACACCCACAGGTGTCCCCAGTGTGGAGCAGCTGCCTGGCCTCCACCAGCACCCAGGCTCAGATGTGGCCCTCAGGGACCTGAGGACAGCCCCTCCCGGGCACTCATTCCTCCTGGATGGGCCTCCCTGGTGGAGGGACAAGCTGGCTTTGAGCGTGTCCTGTCGGGGGGAGGTGCCCGAAGTAGTCGGCTTCCTTTTTGCAGGATCGTTGATGGTGACAAGCTGTTCTCTCCGCACATTCTTTGGCCAGGTCCCACCTACAGCCCAGGGCGTACCCTTCAAGTAGGGGGGGCGAGGGGTGAGGGCTGCAGAGGGCGGGTGGCCTGAGGTTGACTCAGAGTCACACGGCCAGCTGGGGCTCCCTGAGCACCGTGCCCTCTAGCATCGAGTGCCGGGCTCCCCGGAGCAGTATGGCCCCCTATGTCGCAGCAGGTTCCCGGTTGGAACCTGGTTTCACACACACACACACTGGCTGGAACCTGGTTACACACACACACACACTGGCTGGAACCTGGTTACACACACACACACACACACACACGCACACTCCTTCCGCAGCGGTCCAGCAGAGAGGGGCCAGCTGTGGGTGGAAGCCGCTGCATCTCAGCAAAGACCCTGCAGTGGACAGAACCTGTGACCCCCCAGGGAGAAGCAGGCACGTAGGCTGGCCCGGGGCGGCTGCCTCGGGGCAGAGAAGGGGAAAAAAACAAAAGCCGGTGTATCCTCGTCGGGCAACATAATCTGTGATTATAAATATTTCATGGGCAAAGGAAGCTGCCGTGGCTGAGCGGCTGGGGTGGGAAGAGTAGACAACAAATTGGATCCCGGTTTGCAAAGTGATAGCGGCGCTGGAAACAAAAGCAAAGCCGGGGCTATTCTGGGCAGTGTGCTGCGGGCCTGCGTCACCCAGGGAGCGTGCCTCCGGCCACCGGCTGGGCTGAAACCACAGGCTTCCCGTGGTCAGCACGCAGCACCTCAGGAGAGGCTACGCCCCTGAGACCCGCGGAAGGGACAGCGAGGACAGGAAGGGCAGCTATTCGAGGGCTTTGGCCAACCTCTGCTGCGGAGTGGCGGGTGAGGGGGTGCCGCAGGGTGGCCATGGGCACATGAAATGACAGTGATGCCCAGTGCTGACACAGGAGACGCAAGCGAGCAGGGGACCTGAGATGCCACAGGGCAGCTGGGTGGGCTCAGAGGGCAGGCCCAGCTCGTGAGCGGGCAGTGCCAGGCTGAGAACCACACGCTGGCATTTCCTTCGCCTCGGGGAGGGGGACCAAGAAGCAGCCCAGCAAACAGAGCAGCCGCGGGGCGGACCCGCTGGAAACCCTAGAGGAACCTAGGCCCGCCCTGGGTATGATTTCCCCTGCTCCTTGGCCACACGCACCCACGGTAGCCGAGTGTGGCTGCCACCGATCCCAGAGGGCCAGGGCGTTAGCTCTCCTACTCCGCAGCGGTCACAGGTCAGGCAGTCAGCGGTGCCTGAGCCTCTTCTGTCTTGCAGTTAAGGAAGGCTCACTTACAGGACACCGGCCCCCACATGCGCCCACTGGAGTCAGGGACACTCGGAAAGCCACCCTCTAGGTCCTTGCCCATAAGAATGCCCTCAGGATGGACAGGACAGGTCAACTACCGAGAGTAAGACCCGACTGTGCAGTGTGGGTTCTCCTGACCTGGACATCAGGGACCTGGCTCTCAGGCCTGTGTTGCACGCGCACATGCATGCACGCACGCACACACGCCGGCAGGTTGCTCCCAGGGCACCGCCATTCGGCTTGCCCACAGCTGTTCGTGCTCATTCTCCTCCATCCTCAGTCCCGGCCTCTCCTGCATCACCATGGCCCTCCTCCTCATCCCAACCCTCCAGGGCAACCGCACCTGCTACAGGTGTCTGTGTGGCTCCAACACCTAGCTCTTTTGCTACTACACGGGCTTGCTCTCATCCTTTCTGGCCTCTCCCTACCTGCTCCTCTCACAGAGCAAAAGGAACTCGCCTCCCCGGCCACTACCCCAAACCCGCTGCCCATACACCTCCTCCCAGTCCTCAGGGCCAGAAATGGCCCTGCTCCCCTGGCCACCACGTGTCCTCTGACCCTGCTCCCTCCTGCCACAGGGTTAGTGCACAGGCCCTCCCTGGCGCCGGAGCATCTTTCGCTCCTCTCTCACCCAGCCAATGCTTACTCATTCATTCCTCATTCAGGTCCAAAGCACATCCCGTGCACTGACAGGCACAACCCAATAAACTGAGTACGAGAACACTCCTCGTGTTAACTTCCCACCCGCATCTGGAGCGACCCCTCCACCCCGACTGCTTCCCGGTCCACCCCCCCACCCAAGGAACCACTCCTGTGACCACACTGCCGCCGCTTCTCCAGACTGCCGCCCCAGGGACGGAGTCTGACCCGACACAGGCCCGCACTGAGCTGACTTGGGGTTTACATGTGTGTTTGTGTGGTTTGCATGGTGCTCCCAGGGGACAAGGTGGGCTCCATGATGGGCCAGGGCCATCTCTGCATCCCCTGCCCCTGTGCTCACACCAGCAGGAAGCAGCGTATACCCACGGCATGCTGATCACAGCCGGCCACTCGGCTCCACCTCACGCTACTGCCAAGGGGGAGGCGCCATTATCGTGTGCCCATTGTACAGGCGCAGAAGCCGGGGCCCCAGGAAGCCAAATGGGCAGTCGGTGGTCAGTGGTGGGTGTCAGGACCCCAGCCTGTGCTCCCAGAGGCCACCCATGTGGACTCGGAGAGGACGCGCTCAGGGCAGGGCTAGATGAGCATATTTATAGGCAGCTGGCGAGATCGTCAGAGGGACCAAGAAAGCTAGAAGTACATGAAGGTGAGCTGCCCCGGAGCCACCTGCACGGCCCAAGATTCCATCCTCTGTTCACTGCTCCGGCAGGCTCCCGGCTCAGGGGCGCTGGCTGACCCCTGGTGGCAGGACCCCAGTGGGTCTCACCCACAGCCTAGACTCTAGAGCAGGGGTCCTCAGACTTTTTAAACAGGGGGCCAGTTCACTGTCCCTCAGAACGTTGGAGGGCCGGACTGTAGTTTAAAAAAGACTATGCCCAAATTCCTACACATATCTTATTTTGAAGTAAAAAAACAAACAGGGCAAAAACACCCGGCGGGCCAGATAAATGTCCTCGGCGGGCCGCATGTGGCCCGCGGGCCGTAGTTTGAGGACCCCTGTTCTAGAAGAAAAGTCCCTCCTTCTGCACGCGGTGGCAACGATGGGAATGCCCAGAACTACTTACTGTCCGCAGGCCTCTGACGGATGCCCGGAGGAGGGGAGAGCTGCCCAGACAGTGACAGACCCCGCAGCACCTTCCTTCTTGGTTGGCCTTGGTCTGCACCTCTGCTGGCCGGGGCCAGCCTGCCCTAGAGCAACCCCCATTACAGGCGCCCAAGCGCCACCGGGCCTCACACCACGGCCCCTCCTGCCAAGATGCCCATCTTGTATGGCATGTCGGGGCCCGCCATCTTTTAACTGCTCCTGGGCCACCGGCCTCACGACTGCATCCCAGAGAGCTCAGGAAGAAAACACACTTGAAATTCAAGTTTATTTCCTCACGGGACACGCTGACCGCCCTCCCAAGCCCCGATTCTCTCCTCAGCTGAGACGTGGTCCCTGGACGGCCTGCAGTCCGGTGGCTCCTCAAACGAAGTTCTGGGCAATGGCCAGTACCTTGGAGTACTCGCCTTCCCTCTGGCGAAGGCTGGTGGGGATGGGCGTCTTGATCCGGGTGCCCACGGGGTTCCCATTGTCCTCCAGGAGGACCACGTTGTTGGAGTCGAACCTGGGGGTCATGCGGGCGCCAGGCATGCGGTGCCCCACGATGAGCGCCTTCTTCTTCTGCCCCTTGATGGCCAGCAGGATCCGGTCGCCCACCTTGCCCACGCCGTTCTTGGTGTACACGTGGATGCAGCGCGGAGGGCGGTGGTAGGAGGTGCTCCCCAGGGCGCTGTTGTCCACCACACGCACCCGGGTCATCTTCTGAATGGCGCCCATGCCCCCGGTGGTGCTGGTGAGAGACAAACAGACAGACAGACACAGCCTGAGATCGGGGTCTCTCCCTCCTCGGAAGGCAAGGCCTAGGAGAACTGTGCATTCACTACAGCTCCCCCCAACCCCAGCTCAACAGGAGTCACAACAGCAAGGCACAGGCCCTGGCATACTCATCTCTGCCAGGGCCCCTGGTGGTGCCAGGGCTAAGCACTTCACCAAAAGGTTGGCAGTTCAAAGCCAGCTAGCCGCTCTGTGGGAGAGAGATCAGTGATGTGCCTTAGAAAGACCGGAGCCTGGGAAACCCTGCGGGGAAGTTTTACTCCGCCACGGGGGTTCTATGGATCAAACCGATGCGATAACATGGGTGCTTAATGATTGGAAGAGACATTAAAAAATAAGACGGGCGAGCTCTCCCTGATGGGTGTCCAAAACAGCCTTCAAGAGCCTGCCTTCCCTGAAGGACTCTGAAAACCTCAAGGCACCCCACGCACCCAGTGTTTAGCCCCCTGCAAGACCTGCATGCCCAGAACACACGCATTCCCCTTTTCCCCGGCGGGAAAGCACGAGAAGTGTTGGCAGATGATGTATTCCTGTCGTCCTCGGTCCCTCTCCTGGTCATGCTGTCCCTCCTGGTAATGAGGGAGCGATCGGGACAAGGAGTCCTAGTGGCCCCGTGAGATACACATTGCTGGCCAAGAGGTGCGTGGTTCAAACCCACCGGCTGCTCTGCAGAAGGATGGGTCTCTCTGTTCCCAGGAGCACTGACCGTCTTGGACCACGGCGCCCTGGGAGCCCCAGCTCGCGCTGAGTCGGAATTGACCCAGTGGCAGTAGGCTGGGAAGCCGCAAGACGGAAATAAGTCCGTTTGCCACGAAGTCCGTCAGAAGCCGGAGCTGAATCCGTATGACAGCATTTTGTTTGAACATGTTCCACGTGAGGAAGCAAAGAAAGCCAAACCCATTGTGACCAAATCAATTCTGACCCCCACAGGCCCGGCAGACAGGTTCCCGAAGCTGTAAATCTTCAGGAGAGCAGACAGCCTCATCCTTCCCCCACAGGGTGGCCGGGAAGTCTGACCCACCGACCCTGAGGTCAGCAAACAATCCAAACTGGTTCATCCGACAGTGCCACCGGGCTCCCTGCTGGACAATCCCTGGTTTTGTGGTGTTTCTTTGCAACCACCTCCCTCCCAGGAACGACTCTTTTTTTTGTTGTCTCCAAGAACTATTCTTTAAAGAGTTCCTATTGGAAGACGGAGCTCTTGTGGTGTAGTGGTTATGCGTCGGGCTGCGATCCGTAGAGTCCAAAGTTTGAAACCACTAGCTGCTCCTTGGGAGAAAGCCGGGGCTTTCTACTCCCATAAACAGTTACAGGCTTGGAAACTCATGGGGCAGCTCTACCCTGTCCTATAGGCTCGCTGTGAGCCAGCATCGACTCGCTGGCTGTTGAGTGCTTGCGCATTAAAAGGCAGATAAACGTTTAAGGAGCCCGATGAAGTGGGATTTCAAATGCCCTGACGTGGATGCCTCCACAGCTGGCGTTCTTGCTGACTCAGGCAGTTCTGTCTGTGCCCATTGCTTCCAACCAGCAAACCCCATCTCCACCCCACCCGGCCCTGCATCCTCCTCCCTTCTCCACCCTCCTGAAGTCTCCACGACCCGGCCTGGGCCCCCCTCCTGCCATTAACAGCGAAGTCCCGATGCCCCAGCAAGAGCCTCTCCCCACCAGGACCCTCCGGCCACCAAGTCTCACTGAACACCTCTCCTTTCTCCCAACCTCAAAACAAAACAAAAATAACTCTTGCAGCCATTGAGTTGATGCAGACTCATCGTGACTGGCAGGACGGGGCAGAACTGACTGCCCGTGCAGGGCAGACAAAGAAATCCTCCTCGCTCTTCCTCAGAGGGGCTGCTGATGCCAACCTGCTGACCTTGTGGTTAGCCGCCTGTGTGTCACCACTGCGCCACCAGGGCTCCGCTGGCCTTTAATTCAGCAGCTTGCTCCCTCACACCCAGACTGGGAGCACTCCTGTCGCAAGTCTGGCTGCTCCTCACTCACGCCCACAGCTCTCTTCAGAAGACCAGAGGTGCCCCCCACCCTGGGTCAGGCTTGCTTATGGTTCCTCCCCGGCCCACACCAACATGACCCACCTGACCTGCCTCCCGAGACCCATCCTGTGCTCCCTACACCAGCCAGCCAGGCACCACGCACCCCCACCTCCTGGCCCCCGCCTTGCCCAGGGCCTGCTCCCGATTCTCTGCTGAGAAGGCTACCTCCACTGCCCTTGCACGTCCCCCCCTCGCAGCTTGTCTCGGGTTTGCCACAGAGCCATCCAAACCTCTGTTATTGCACTCGGCACATTCTCGTGTAGGTACTTGTTTCCCAGCCTGCCCCCCGTGGCTGACTGTGAGTTCTCTTGGGGCAGAAGGGCTTCTTATTCACGCCTGTCTGCTGCTCCACAGGGTGAGCGGGAGCATGGGGCCAGGAGGCAGGTTTCCTGCGGGGGCGAGACCTGTGGGCTCCATTTCTGGCCTGGCCACGAAGGGATGGGGAGCTGTCGCACTTCCGAACACGCTGGTGCTTGGGGCAGTCAGCACACATCGCTATGGCCTTTTTTCAAAGAAATGATTTTGTTTTTGAAAGAGAGCGTACTAAAGTACCTAGGGCAGGACAGGGGCCAGAGCTGTCTTATCCTTTAGCGAGGTAAGAGTCCTGCAAAGGACAGCCGCTTCTCCCACATGCCACTCTGCTCCACCCCACCTGCCTCCCCACTGGGACCCCAGCAAACCCCACCGCAGCTGGACTCCCCGCTCCTCTCCAGACAAGTCCTCCGCAGCCTGGCTCCCACCCGTACCAAGGGCTCAGGGACTGATTTCCCATGCATCTTCGCACTTTTCTGGACAAATTCTAGGGAGAAGGGGTT